TATAAAAGAGATGCTCATTCTCATTCAAAATAAAATAAATCGAAACTACAAAGAGGCACTTTTACATATAGTTTAGCAATGTCAAAGTGTCCTAAAACAGTATTGTGGAAAGTGTTGAAAACCACGTACTCTGATACATCGCTAGTAGGAGTGTAAGTTCCACATTACTGTACAGTAACTTGGCAAGAGCTATCAAGTAAAATGTTTATACTCTTAGACCTAATATTCCTATTCCTAGGAAATTATCCAACAGAGATGAAATTGATATAAATCATACACCTCATTGTTGTTGCTGTTAAGTGCCGTTGAGTAGATTCCAACTCATAGCAACCCTGTACAGAGTTTCCAAGGAGCAGCTGGTGGGTTTGAACCACTGACCTTGTGGTTTGCAATCCAGTACTGATCCTACAATGCCACACCAGGAGTCCCTCCACTTCTTAGGGGAGTGATAAGTTTTAAATGAAATCACTCAAACAAAATAAGTCACTCTATAAATTGGGAGAAAGAACCATATTCCTTTCCTTCAGATCTCATATACATCAGCTTGTAATTACACATGTGTAATTATTTGACAGAGAGCTTGTTCTTCCCACCAGCCTAAAAACTCCACCAGAGGATGAACAGAGTTGATATTTATACCTGTAGCTTTGTGTTCAAACAGTGACTACCACATAGCTGTTGTTGTTGTTAAGTACCATGGAGTTGGTTCCAACTCATAGTGACCCTGCACAGGGTTTCTGAGGCTGTAAAACTTTATGGGAGCATAAAGCCTCATCTTTCTCCTGCGGAACAGCTGGTAGTGTCGAACTGTTGACCTTGAGGATAGCAGCCCGATTCATAACCAGTACGCTATCAAATAGTAGGTGGCTAATAAATATTTGTTGAATTAATTATTACAGATTAATAGATTGATAGATGGTAGATACATATGAGGGGGCTTAAAACAGTTCATGGAAAAACTGAAATTAAAAGATAGTAACTTTTCTACAAATTTTTTTAATCCTCTTCATACATAGGGAGATAAATGATAGAACCGGAGTTCAATAAACAGACCAGAGAATTTAGGGTTTAGTTGTTAGACAGAAACAAGAGTGCTGGAAGGATTAGGAAAGACTATACAGTGAATTTTAGGTTCCACAGCGTCAAGAACCTAGAAGTCCAGGAAACTACAATTTTCTGGTTCCTTTCTAGTGTTAATTAACACCAAAGAGAGAATTCAGAAGTTGTCCCTCTGAAAGCTTGAGTCTTCCAAGTCTCAGTGACAAGCCCCACACTGAACTATACATACCAAGCCCAGAATGTCAGGATTGCGCCTTACAAATAGTAAGGCAAGAGAGAGAAGTTCATGGAAAATTAATTATATGTTTTGCGCACACACATACATTTCCTAATATCTATCTAACTAAAGTTTTGAAATCCTTGCACCCAAAATTTCAAAATATCTTAAGAGCCCTAAGGTATCATTGTTCCCATTTTACAGATGGAAAAATGGAAAGACCATCACAGCAGCTCTACTCCTCACTTTGTGAAGGTGAGTGGTGTTTGTTTTCCATGTGGAAAGATCAAAATACACAAGGGATTGACCATCAACTGTGTTCTGGATATAGAATTTCAGCTTGCCAGCTGACTCACTCATAAAGAACATGTAATTGGTGAATCCCATTGTTTCCTCTACTTAAAGCCTATATGACCAGTAACCCCACCAAGGAAAAGGACAAGATACCTAAAATTCTTTATGCTTAAGAATCTATGGATGTATTAGACATGGTCTCAAACCACAGACAAACAAGGGAAGACAAACTCTTAGGCAGAGAATTATAAAACAAAGTAGTAGGGCTACTATGCAGAATCAAATGAATGGAGTTCCAGCAAAAGCATTGAGGGGTGGGGTGTTCCCACAAGGCTTCCTGGAAAAGACGATTCCTGAGCTCAGTCTTAACAGATAGAAGGGTTAGCTCTGGATATGGGCAGGAGGTAAAGGTGACGAGACCCTCTAAGATTCTCCAGGGCCCTTTTGTATCTCAATATGTTGTTGAGATTTCTCCATATTGATACATATAGGAGAATGATTTATTCATGTTTAAGTGGAATAAGCCTATTTATAAACATTTATTTTCATTAATGTGGTGCTGTGGGTTAATGCACTGGACTGCAAAATCTGTTTGCACCCCAAGGTCAGTGTTTTAAGTTTACCAGCCACTCCTCAGAAACCTTATACAGGGTCACTGTGGGTCAGAACCTACTCGACAGCACTTAACAACAATAACATTACAAACAGTCCAAGAGGATATATCCTTGTACATGACTCCTTGCAACAGATCCATTTTGGAAGAAGTGCAGCCAAAGTGCTCCTTGGAAGCCAAGATGGCCAAACTTCGTCTTGCATACTTAGGACATATTGTCAGGAGGGACCAGTCACTGGAGAAGGATATCATGTTTGGTAAGGTGGAGGTTCAGAGAAAAAGAGGAAGACCCCCAATGAGATGGATTGGCCAAGTGGCAGCATCAATGGGCTCAAGTGTGGCAACAGTAGTGAGGTTGGCCCAGGATTGGGCAGTGTTTTGTTCTGTTGTGCTAAGGTCGCTATGGGTCAGTAAGTACCAACTCGATGGTACCTAACAACAGCAACATATATGTAACAATCTTCAACTGTAAACACCAAGAAGTAGCATCACCAGGATCTGCAGTTTTGAGTAGTTAACTGCCAAATTGTTCTCAAAATGTCCTGATTTACATGTCCACCCAGCATATCGTCACCAGCATGTGATAGCCTCAAATTGTTTCATCCAAACTGTGCTTTGTAGGAAGATCTTTATCATTCTCATCAGAAAAAGGTATGTTGCAAAACTTCAAATTTCTCTTAAAGGAAGGGGAAAGTTCCACACCCTATACTGAACACTTATCACTTCTTAAATCACTACCCCCCAAAAATCAAACCACTGCCATCCAGTGGATTCTGACTCAAAATGACTATATATAGGGTTTCCTACAGTAAATATTTACAGCTTTATCTTTCTCCCATGGAGTGGCTGGTGGGTGGATTTGAACTGTTGACCTTGTGGCTAGCAATCCAGTGCTTATCTTACAGTGCCACCAGAATTCCTTGGAAATCCTTAACTCAGATATTATGACCCTTACTTTACAGTGAGAAAACTGAAGCTAAGAAATGAAGTGACTTGCTTTATTATACAGTAGGAAGTGGATATGCTATGGATTAAAATCCATACTCTTAATTGTTTTATACATTCAACTAACATTTATTGAGCACTGATTACACACCAGGTCCTGGAGATACAAAAATGAATTGCAAAACTATTCTTAGCATATAGTAATATTCAATATATGTTAATATATGTTGAACCAAGGAGTTCAAAGCTCACAAAGGAGAGAAAAACCTAAACCAAACCCCTTGCTGTCAAATTGAATTCTAACTCACAGTCACCCTACAGAGCAGAGTAGAACTTCCCATGAGGTTTCCAAGACTGTAATCTTTAAGGAAGCACACTGCCATATATTTTCCAGAAGAGCAACCAGTGGGCTCTAACTGCCCACCTTTCAGTTAGCAATTGAGTGGTTTAACCACTGTACCAAAAGGAATCCTTACAAAGAAAATTGGTGTTGTTGTTAAGTGCTGTCGGGTTGGTTCCGGCTCATAGCGACCCTGCAAAAGGTTTCTGAGGAGCAGCTGGTAGGTTTGAACTGCTGACCTTCTGGTTTGCAGTCCAGTGCTGATCCACAGTGTCACACCAAAAGTTCTACAAAGGAAATGTTGTTATTGTTAAGTGCCATAAAATCAGCTTCTGTATAGGATTTCCTAGGAGCTGCTGGTGAGCTTGAACCACCAACCTTGAAGTCAAAATCAACCTTCCAATCCAGTTCCTTAACCCACAGTACCACACCAGGACTCCTACAAAGGAAATAGATATGTGAAAAATATTTACAATAAAATGGTGACATGCTGTAATTGATAAATGGTTCATTACAGCAGCGTATAAACCAGGAAAAGATTTTGTTTTTTTTAAAGAAAAATCAGGAAAGCTTCATATTTGGAGAGAGCATCCAGCAAATACAAAAAGAACAAATGAGTTCTAGACAGAGGGAATGTGACGCAACATTGCATTTTCTGAGAATTACACTACTCTGATTGCCTTCAAATTATTTCCTTCCAGTTTTGAGGCAGGGCATCAAATTCAATTCTTTAGATAGTTGTTAAATGCTTGTTTGGGGCTAGGCTCTGCCTGAAATGCTTTACATGCAGAATATCATTGAATCCTTGCCAAAAACAAATTTGCAGACTTTTTATTCCTATTATACACATGAGAAAAAAATAAGCTCAGAAACTTGAAGAATCCAGCTCAGGAAGACATTCAAATAATCTGTTCTTTCCACTCCCCATACTCTCCTCAAAATACCAGGCAAGTCGTACATTCTCCTTTCCCAGGTCTTACTCCAATTGGAAGACATTCTCCCAGCAAACTTCAGGGCTCATAGCTAGTTACCTTTTGGATCAAAGAGACTCCTTCTGTCCATCCTATGGAATTGGAGGGAAGAATGCATATAGAGTTGTGGAGTTTTTAATCCATGGCCAGACAGGAAATATCATCCCACTCATCATGCATTCATTTAACAAAACATTTATAGAGCACCTACTATGGGCCAGACAATATCTTCCATACAATGGATGCAATAGTAAATAAAGCAGGCAAAACTCCTGACCTTAACAAAGATTAAATTCCAGTCATTTCATGGGTTAATGTGCTGGACTACAAGGTCAGTTTGAACCACAAGTTCAGTGATTCAAGCTCACCAACCATTCCTCGGAACCCCTATACGGGGTCACTGTGAGTCGGAACCTACTCGAAGGCAAACAACAAAAGCAGGAGCAGAGTGAAAGCTAAGGTTTTGAGGGGTTTGTCCAAGGTCACTCAGTAATTTTATGGCACAGGTCAGACTGAAACCCAAATCTATGTGACTAGCAGCACAAAGGCATGTTCTTTCTCTCATCCACCTCTTGTTTTATTCACCTTAGTCTCTGTCAGGCAGAATGACCCCAGAGAACTTTACCTGGGCCAGGATTGCGCCTGCTGAATTCATCCTCCTAGGCATCACTGATCGCTGGGACCTTCGCATTACCCTCTTCGTGATCTTCTTGCCTATTTATCTGGTGAGCCTGCTAGGAAACATGGGCATGGTGCTGCTGATCAGCGTGGATGCCCGGCTCCACACACCTATGTACTTCTTTCTGGCCAACCTCTCCCTGCTGGATGCCTGCTATTCCTCAGCCATCGGCCCCAAGATGCTCGTGGACCTGCTGCTGCCGCGCGCCACCATCCCTTATGCAGCCTGTGCCCTCCAGATGTTTGTCTTTGCAGGGCTGGCTGATGCCGAGTGCTGCTTGCTGGCCGCCATGGCCTATGACCGCTATGTAGCCATCGGAAACCCTCTTCTCTATACAACAGCCATGTCGCCGCGTCTATGCCTAGCCTTGCTAGGAGCATCAGGCCTGGGTGGAGCAGTCAGTGCTTTTGTCCACACAACGTTCACCTTCCGCCTAAGCTTCTGCCGCTCCCATGAGGTCAATAGCTTCTTCTGCGATATCCCTCCACTGTTGGCCATCTCATGCAATGACACTAGTCTTAATGAACTCCTTCTTTTTGCCGTCTGTGGCTTCATCCAGACGGCCACGGTGTTGGCGATTGTTGTGTCCTACGGCTTCATTGCTGGGGCCGTAATCCGCATGCGCTCAGCTGAGGGACGTCGAAGAGCGGCCTCTACCTGTGGCTCCCACCTCACTGCGGTAGCTATGCTCTATGGGACACTCATTTTCATGTACCTGCGTCCCAGCTCCAGCTATGCCCTGGATACCGACAAGATGGCATCTGTGTTCTACACCCTGGTCATCCCTGCTCTCAATCCACTCATTTACAGCCTACGAAACAAAGAAGTGAAGGAAGCCCTCCGGAGGACCTGGAGTCGATTCTGCTGCAGGGGGCAGGGGCACTCCTGAGGGGTCAGGGTATGTGGTTGGGACTGCCTGTGAAAAGGAGCACATTCTTTCAATTCCCTGGCACTGTGGGTAAAGATGGATTTTCCTCTGGCTTGTGCTTCTCTTGTCATTGCTTAAAGAACTACAAGGCAAGAGGAAAGGAAGCCTATTTTAGGGATACAAAGGGGGCTAGACATTTTGTGGAGCCGAGCTTTCACCCTAATCAGCAGCACCCTGCCGGTGTTTCCTAGAACCAAGATTAGGATAAGGTTGCTATTGAGCTGCGTTAGGTTCTCCAATGTTCAAAACATAAACGTTCCCGAATATTACCTAGTAGAGGAACATAAGGTTTATCGGCCACCTGTACTTAGATCAAGTTGATCCCTAGAAACACCAGGTTGGAGTAATATCGACTCCAAATGTTCCTAAATGATTGTACTTTCAGGGTTCTTGTTCACCATACATGTTCGTCGGCTTCTGCTCTCGTTGACCTCACACCAGGAGAGCATCTTCAGAGCCTGCTCATCCCAAAGAATAGAACTGTATCTAACGCAGCAAACACCCCTCCTTTCTATCACTCAGGAATAAGACTGAGCAGCCCCAGAAATTATACAAGCACATTCCTAAAATCTGAACAGTTTGGTTAGGATTTGGTCAAGGTTAGATTAGTCCAGGCATAGATAGTGGTGGTCTTTGTTGTGTCCCACCAAATCAGTTCTGACTCATTGTGATTCATAGGGTTTCCAGTGCTTATCCTACAGAACCACACTAGGGCTCAAGCATAGGATAGAGGTTAGGGAAGGATCCGAATTATATGGTTAGGATAGAGTTCGAATTACAGGTCAGATGGTGTCTAAAACTAGAAGTAGGGTTAGTTTAGAGCCAGGATTAGGTTTAGAATTAAGAAGCATCAGGCCAAATGTAGGACTGCAAATTTTAGAATTTTGATTAGTTTTAGTTAGTACATTTGGAATAAATTTTGGGATGAATCAGAATGTGGGTAAACCTGGACTTTTATTTAAAATATTAGAAATGCTTAAGATTAGTATTAGAGTGCAGAACTAATTAATATTTTAATTCAGCTTTCATTTTCATTGCTAGAGAAAAGTTCAGAGTTTAGTTTTGATTGGAGCACAGTTAGAGTTCAGTTAATCTGATGTGCAGATTGTGTCTATGATACATTTAAGATACCGTCTAATTACTATTACAGAGTCCTGGTGTGGTGCTGTAGGATAAGCACTTAACCAAAATGTCAGTTTGAACCACAAGGTCTGCAAATTAAACTCACCAGCTGCTTCTCAGAAACCCTATATGGGTCACTGTGAGTTGGAACTGACTCTACAGCACTTAACAATAACATCAACAGTTATTATTACACTTAGGGTAGGATAAGACTGGATAAGAGAGGCAAAGGAAGAATATTTTAACTTTCAAATTGATGCTTTGAGTCACCTTAATTTAAGACTTAGGTTTATGGATAATGATTAATGTTTCTTAAAACTTAAGAGTAGAGTGACTGGTAGATTTAAATTAAATTTCATTCAGAGGTATGAGCATGCTTAGGTTTTCAAGCAGTTGGGTAGTGTGAATACTGTGATTGGTTTGTATTAGGATTACAACATCCAAAGGTAGAACTGGGGTTAGGAGAGGGAGTGACATAATCTTGACCTCTTGGGCAGTAGTAATTGCAGTGCTGAGAGACCTGGATCACACTGGACTCCCAGACAAAATGGTCTTGGACTAGTATTCCACCAAGAGTTCACAAATTAGACAGAATTCCCTGTGTCTCTATAATACATATCTCTATGGACAAGGTCCAGAGTACTGTGAAAGCAATACTGATGCTTTAGTCTGATGCCATGGGGTGATGCTATCCCTTATTACCAGTACCAAGTCTCTCCCTCTTACTAACTATGGCCTCCTTAGAGGTATCAGGTCCATGAAGAGAGAGATGTGAAGAAGACCATCTCCTCAAATCTTAAAGAACTTTATAGGTTTTCTGAAAAGGTAATCAACTGCCCTGGTCATCCCATGACTGAAGGAATTCTTGGCATATTTTCAGTTTTGAAACAGTTCAGGACAAAAAGTATGAATTGGTTATCCTATCAGGAAATCCAATTCCTGGTGAACCAGCATCTTAAAAGCAGGCAGTAATGGGCTCAAGCATGGCAACAATTGTGAGGCTGGCCCAGAACCAGGCAGTATTTCGTTCTATTGTACATAGGATTGCTATGAGTCGGTACCAACTCAATGGCACCCAACAACAACAACAACGGTATCCCAAATTGCCCAGCATAGTACATTTTGACAAAGATTTTAAAAAAATGAAAATCCCTTCTTTCATGACAAGTTTTTATAATTCTTTCCCAGTTCACCATCTTCGCTTCCCTCCTACAACTGTAACAATAATCAGAGGCATTATCAAAAGAGTTGGCGATTATAGGACTATGAAATAAGCCCCCAATTCAATGACATATATACTCAAAGACCTCCTCTGTTCTCTCTTCTTTTGTGGGTTCTTGGACTCTCATGACATACAGAACCCACAATAATCAAGGGAAAGTTTACAGAAGGATGTGGCTCCTTCCGTCATCTTGATCCTATAGGATGTGCACATGTCCACCCACATGGCTGCATCAGTGAATCAGCCAGACACAGTAATTACATAAATCCTACAAATCAACTAGACAAAATGGGAGGTTATGCATTATTGTTTTAGCCAAAACCAAACCAAACTCACTGCCATCCAGCCAATTCCAACTCACAGAGACTGTTTACTACCAGGTAGAACTGTTCCCTAGGGTTTCCAAAACTGTACATCTTTACAGGACTAGACAGCATCATCTTTCTCCTGCAGAGTACCTGGTGGATTCGAATTGCCAACCACGTGGTTAGCAGCCCAATACTTAACCCACTATGCTACCAGGGATCCTGTGATTATGTTACATCTGTTTAATAGGAAACAAATGAGAGGGGAAAGAGAAGGATTGGAAGATAACATAGCCCAACCTGCAGAATGAACAAAGAAAAATAGTCAAGTCCTTGCCCTTTAAAAGATATGTCCAGTAGAGTTTGACCAATTCTGCTAAAGTATTTCCATTTTATACCTCTGTCGGCACCATTTACTAAGGCAGGCCAGGAACTGGTTTGGGATAGAGAAAATTGATGGTTTGATTTGGAGTACTTATTACACATAATATTGTTATTAAGTGTCATTGAGTTGCTTCTGCATAGTGATACTGTATAGGGTTTCCAAGGAGCAGCTGGTGGGTTTGACTTTGTGATTAGCAGTCCAGTGCTTACCCTACAGCACCACACCAGGGTTCTACACAGAATAAATCAAGCCCTAAAACATGAATTGGGTTTGGATAAGTAGAATTGAGGGAAACAAGCTTTTGAAAGGGAAGGACAAGTAGACACAAAACCACAGAGGTAGAATGAACTTGGTGAATGCAGGAACCTCTTAGGACATCAATTTAACTCGAGTGTTTTGGAGAACTGAACGGAAGCATGAGGATTGATGATCTGGAAATGGAAAGGATGGTCTGTGACTTAGATATCAGATTGGAGAATTTGAACTTTATTCCATAAAACAATAGAGAGCCCTTGAAAGTTCAATGTTTAAAAATCCCCTTTAGGATTATTCTGATACTGAATCATGCAGAGAGCCATTGGAACCTGGAAAACAAAACAGAGAGATACAATGGTCTCAGACCACAATACACATCTAGCCATACATGCACAACCCAAACACAGACCCAATCTCGTATCAGAAGCATTCATGCACAAAAATATTCCCATACTCAAATACAGCTGCACACCCGGATATAAACAGTTACACAGAGATACATTCACTCTTTCCACACCCAGGCATACAACCCTACATACACTTGCACACACATACTCACAGTCACTCATATCACCAGACATCATAAGCACAATCCCTCCCACGCTCCTACACTTCCTAAAAGAAACCATCAGACACCAACTGAGGGGACAGGAAGGCTGATCCCAGAGGCTACTCCTACAGACCCTGTTTACTCATGTAAGTAAACTGTTTTGCCTTTGACCTTGGTCACTCTGTTTGGCATTCAAGAATCAGTCAGCTGCTTCTCAGACAGGGGCTGGAGAACAGCAGTTTCACCATGCATGGGACTCCTGAGTGTCTCTCCTACGCAAGACAAACTGGTCCCCAGAGTTGAAGACAGCACCAACCATTCTTTCTCCCAACACACCTACACCCTAGAGAGAAAGGATAACAAGTCCCAGAGCTGAGCTGCCACCTGCCTCGGGGACAAAGGCCAGGGGAGGCGTTGTCTCTGGAGAGAAATGAAGGTGCTCCCAAGGTCCCAAACCCCATAATTGGTCAATGACTCCCTCTTCATACCCTCAAATAACAGGATACATCTGGCCTCCTGATGTTGTCTCCTCCTGTGGTTGTGGAAAGGTCAGAGGGTACATTTGGGGGACAGGGGTCAGGCTGGGAATATGCAGATCTGTCTTCACATGTGCTACTATGTGCATAAGCCATATGTGTAAGTATGAGAGCTTGCGTGTTTCATATGAGGCTGTGATTGTGTATCATGATCACTGCATGACAGCATCATTGTGGAAGAGGCAGTGTGTATGTTGTTGTTGTTGTTAAGTGCCATTGAGTCAGTTCCAAACCATAGCAACCCTGTATAGGGTTTCTGTGCCCATACAGAGCAGGCCATTTCTGCTGTGATCCATCAGGAGTCTATGTGAATGTAACCATGCAAGATGGCATGAGGCTGTGGGACCCTGAAACTGTGCCTGACACTGTGAATGTGTGATGAATGATGTGGTGTAACTGGGTTTGCATGAACAGGCACCTTAGCACTGAGTAGGGGGCCGATGAAAACACAAATGTGAGTGATAGTCACAGTAACTGTACTTGCTGGTGTGTGCCTCCATGAACACACCAGCAAGTACAGTCACTGTGACTATCATAGTAAATGATTGTTACCCTCTGGCCTCAGTGCAATGTGTGTTTGTATACA